CCTCCTCCTCCTCCTGCTCCTCCTCTTCCTCCTCCTCCTCCTCCTCTTCCTCCTCCTCCTCCTCCGTTTCCTCATCCTCCTCCGTAGCCATTTTGGCTCAAGCCGTCTGCCCGCGGGAGCGCGGGAGCCCGCCATTGGGGGAGCCCCCAGCCCCAGGCGTCCTGCGCCTGGCGCGACGCGGCTGCGGCGGGCTAGCGCCCGCCGCGCGGCCGCCGCCATCCTGGCCCCCCGCGAGGCTCGCGGGGTGGCCTCGCTGGCGCGTGACACCTCGTCGCAAGGACGGTCGCGCTCGCCGGCGTGGCATCGAAGACTGCGCATGCATCGTGCCGTTGCGCGACGGAGGCTCAGGTACGACACCGACGAGAGCTTGCTGCTCCTGCGCCACGGCTCTCGGCCGCCAGTCGGCCGTGGCGGTCGGGGTCGGGGTTCTCAGGGTGAGACGCGTGACCGCAGCGAGAAGGGCGCGCGCAGGGCGTGCGTGGCCACTCGCCAGTGCGGCTTTCAGCGCAACTAGAACACTATTCAGTGGTGCGACATGTGCGGTCGGGGCAAGATGGGTAAGCCCGACACGAGTGGCGCTCAGCCTGCTGGAGCTCGCAGGCGATCGGCACCGGGCTCCAGGCGCAGCGCTGGCACCGCCGAACCCGAGGAGTTCAACGAGGTCACCAAGGCCCGCCGCGCCCTGGCCGCCCTGCGACGGCTCCAGCTGGGCGAGGACAGCGAGGTGCTGGTCCGCGCCAGGCGCCAGCTGGCGCGAGCGGGCCGCTCGCACTCCTGACGACATGCTGCGCCGCGCACTGGGCCGCCAGGCGACGCAGCAGCGCGAGCACGACACGCTGGCGAAAGCGGTCGCCGGCTTGCAGCGCGACCTGGCGGCGAAGGAGGGCGAGCTCATCGCTGCCAAGGCCGAGCTGGGCGCCATCCACTTGGAGGTCGCGACCGCCTGCAGCGCCGCCACGGCTGCAGGTGCGGGGCGCAGCCCTCCTGGAGGGCTCGGGGAGGCGCTCGGCCGCCTTCGCGGCGTTGTCGCTGCCGCCCCCGCGGCGGTCACTGCAGGCAACGCAGCCGCGGTGCTGGGCTCGCTCAACGTTCACCTCACAGACTCCAGCGGGCTCTGGTCATGTATGGACGGGCTGCCGTCAGGGACCCGACAGCAGCGGCGGGCGGTCAGGTTCCTCTGGCTGGCCATGCTGGCTTTCCTCCTGGAGGCGGCCCTGGCGCCGACGACGTGCATCCATGGGACGATCAGATCGAGCAGGACCACGCCACGCCAGCCCGTACTTTTTCGGGGGCGACGCGCGCCAACATTTGACGACTACATTGGCGACATGTCCTATGAGAGGTACGGCGTCGACGTCCAGCATGGCGGCGACTCGGACCTGGCTGCTCACATGGACGCGAGATCGCACACCAGTACAATGTTGGAGCCACACTTGGCCGCAGGTACTGCGGGCAGTGTTGGTGAAGCCACCGGGAATCGTGCTCGCTCCCATAGTTGGCTCCTCTCCGAGCTATCTGGTGACATCAGAGCATATTACTGCTGCAATTTGGGTGGGATCTCTGAGTAATGGCGACTTGCTCAGAACCACGCTTGCTGGAGGATCTGTGGGTGTCAACATCACCATTCCTGCCGCGCTGCGGCACCCCAAGGTGCAGATCACGGAGTACTCCAGGTGAAGATTACGGAGTCTCCTCGTCTTCTTCCTGGGCCCCTCCGCATGTCGTCGCAGGGTCGCCCGCGCACTCGAGACAACCGACGGGTGGGTCCGCCCCCCGGGGCGCGCGAGGCGGTCCGACCCTCTCGAGCGTGCTGACCAGGTCAGGGAGGAGGAGGAGGAGGAGGAGGAGGAGGAGGAGGAGGAATAGGAGTAGGAGTAGGAGTAGGAGTAGGAGTAGGAGTAGGAGTAGGAGTAGGAGTAGGAGGAGGAGGAGGAGGAGGAGGAGGAGGAGGTGGTCGATGCCCCCTGGCCTGGTGGCAGTGTTGCCTCGGGGTGCGGAGGCGCGCCCCCCCTGCTCTTGGCCCGTGCTCCCTCGCGCGCTGCTGCCGGGTTGCACGCGCACTCGAGACCACCGACGGGTGGGTCCGCCCTCTGGGACGCACGAGGCGCCGATCCCCCCCTCGAGCGCGGTGACCAGGGCAAAGGCTCCCGACGGGGAGGTGGTCTACGCCCCCTGTCCTGGCGGTGATGCCGTGGTAGGGTGCAACGAGCTTGGGCCACACGGACTCGATGAAGGACCTGCTCATTCCTCTCGGGCCCCCTCCGCGTGTCGTCGCAGGGTTGCCCGCGCACTCGGGACCACCGACCTGTGGGTCCGCTCCCCGGGGCGCGCGAGGCGGTCCGACCCCCTCGAGCGTGCTGACCAGGGCAGGGGCTCCCGACGGGGAGGTGGTCGAAGCCCCCCTGTCCTGGTGGCGGCGCACTGGCACCGGCCACGCGGACTCGAAGAAGTACCTGGGCGGGCTGCAGCATGCGGCTCGACTGACGGCACACGCGTTTACGGCAGACGCCCTTGGAGGCGTGCGCGAAGGCTACTCGCCCAGGCTGGTATCGATGTGGTGACCTTCAACTCCAGTCGGTGGCCGCCAGCCAAGGATCTCGTGGCGTGGGTCACGCGCGCATCCATCGTCTGCAATCAGGAGCACAAGCTTCGCGGGGATACTTATGCCAGAGTTCTGGAGTGGGCCTTCAAACATGGATGGAAGCCTTTCTTGACTGAAGCGTTGCCTGGAGACGGCCAATCCAGCAAGGGCGGAGTCGGCATCCTTGTCAGATGCCACGTCGGCGTCACTGCGCCCTAGGGTTCGAGCTTCCATGTGGTCGTTCCAATGTATTGTGTCATTGTCAAAATACACACAGGCCCGCGCCATGGCTTCCTGGCTGCGTCAGCTTACTTCGGGCAAGGTCACAGGCTCGACGGCCCCAACACCAGCAAGGTGCGTGTCCTGGGGTCGCACCAAACATACTGCAAGCTTCTGTATATGATTGGAGGGACTGGAACATTGCGCCCACTGTCCTTAGTGACTGCGGGCTGCGTGACAGACTGCGCGGGCGGTCGGCGGCCCCTGCCGGCGGCGCGCACAGGGGCCCCTAGTCTGGTTCTCACCACACAACATTGGCTTACTGGATGGCGACAGATGCGCTGGCCTCTTGCATGGGCCCCCCTACCCGACTTGCCGGGCTTCCACCGCGCAACCACTATGACATTCGAGTGAAGCTGCCAGGCGGGGCGCGGGCACAAGCGATTACCACCTTGGCAGGGCCTCAGGCATTTCCTGTGAGACCCGTTGCCAAGCTACACGAAGCGGAGCGTGACGATGACGGAGAGATTACCGTTGACACACCGCGAGGTACCTACGCAGTCCCGCAGGAGCACGTCATGGCAGATGGCGCCAAGCTCAAGTCTGGATCGTGTGATGATTATACCGCTCGGTTTGCTTCTCTCTGTCGGCTTCTTTTTGATGGCGGTGAGACTGAGCGCGCGCCTCTCTT